GCATGGCTTTTTTACCTGCTGTTCCACTTGTGCTGTAACACCGTAAATGTCCCCGCTGTGGTATAAAAGAAGAATTCTGATTATAAAACTCTTTAAATCGTGGAGATAAGTTAGTGCCATTTTTCTTCACTTCCTCAATCTTTCCTCTGCTCCTTCATTCCCTCCAACCTTCTCTTTCTGTACCGTGGAACATAATGGCAGCAGCTTCTCAAATTGGCTTCTTTCATCAAAACAGCAAAAAAAGTTTTAAGAGGAAACAGACCGACAGGACAGGTTGTCCCTCAGCAGAAGACCCCCCCCTTGCCCCCCTCGCCCCCCCCCCCTGTCTCTCTGACAGCTGATCAAAAGGAGAAAATGGGTCAGGCTTCTGTTCTTCTGTCCTTAATTACACAACAGTCTTTAAACAAAGCAACATCTGCCCAAGTAGCCGTCCTGCTCCTCCTCCCCACCTCTTCTCCACCGTCTCCTGCACCTTCTTTCCTGCTATTAGTGCATTTGGTAACATGTACAATTTGGTAGGGACGATTTAGACAGTGTCCTATTGGCTAAAATCCAATGAATGTATTCCAAATAAGTGCTATTGAATAACCTCAAAGTGCACAGCAGGTGAGCTGAACATGTGAAGCTGTTACATTTTGCCCCAGGCTGGTTTACGATTCAATGTGTTGAGTTTCTAGCAATAAACAGGTCATACATTAATATTTACTTGCGTTTAAAGAAGCTTTTCTCCCTTTAATTTGTACCGATTGTTACTAAATGAATTCCTATAAATGATTATTGTATTGTCATTGGGAAATGCCGGACCAATCACATCAAGCTACAACTGAACGTCCGCAAATGTGCAGATTTTCACAAAACGTTCATTTCTTTTAAAATGTTATCAACAGTCTAATGACTTAGAGCAGGGGTGTCAAACTCAAATACACAGTGGGCCAAAATAAAAAAAAGGGTACTAGTGGAGGGCCGGACTGGTTCAATGTTTATTGCAAAACTTATTGAATGAACTTATTGCACATATTAAACCTGGAACTAACAAAGCTTAAACTATTGCCTATAAAAACAACATGAAACATTAAATAATCAGTTGCATTCATTTCTTATGGCTCTATCTGCAGCTTTTCCAGAGTCATTTCTTATGATTACATTTTTCCCACAGGCCAACAACAGCTTCAAAAAAACTATTTCCCCTCAAAGAACAAACCAAACATGCCCTGTTGTCTCAGGGAGACAAAGTGCAGAAGGAAACATCCATGTAAACTCAGTGTGCTGCTCTGTGATGCTAGTTCAAGCCAGATACTTGGCATCTCATCTTGGGTGCAAGTTCATCAATGTTTGGGGTCAGGCTCTGAGCTGAGGAAACCCTCAGGATTGAGTGAAGGTGTGCGTGCAATATACCGGGGCCAGATCTAATAGTAATTAAACATTATCCTGCGGGCCGAAATTAAATCCACCAAGGGCCTGATTTGGCCCCCGAGCCTTAAGTTTGACACATGTGACATAAAGCATCTGGTGATTTTTGGAACTTGAAAGTATTTTCTCACAGTGACAAACAAATACAGAAAATGGAGACTCTTGCAAGTCACAGATTATAGAAACAGGGGCAAAAGACGGAGGGACCTGAGATCAGTGGTTCAGTCTGTAGGGGCTTGTGCTTAGGACCAAAGGGTTGCCGGTTCACGTCCCAATCGGACTGAAGTGTGAACTGGTGCTGGAGAGGAGTTTACCTTCTTGAGCAAGGCACTGGACCTGCTGCTTTAGATCCTGTGCATATTGAACGGTGTGTGTTTGAATCTGTACGACATGTGTGCATTTGTATGCGCATGTTGAGTGGGTAACTGAATCAATAAAGTCTTATCTTTCTGTATTTCTTTTAAAAAAGTGCTGCCTCAAATCACACATTTGTTTAGCCTTGCAAAGACCTAAAACCAAGAAATGAGTTAGCATTTGATAACTTCCTGGTCCCATCATCTCGAAGTCAATTGTTTTTTGAACGACCCTGAAATAAGGTGTGTGGTTAACACAAGCTGAAGAGATTTTTACATTTGGTTTTGGACATAAAATACATGTCTCACTGGTAAATGTCTGATGCTACACGTCTGAAAAACAACGGTTGCTGGACTTCTCTCACGGCGAACATTAGCCACCTTTAGCTTAGCGGTGGTGTGGTTTCTTTAAAGCCTTACATTAGCTTTCACTTCTGGAGATTGCATTTAAAGAATTAAGTGGTGTTAATATATGGAGATTATATCCATGTGTGGACTCCAATGGGAAAAACCCACTGCTTTTTATCGAGGAAACCCTTGTGATGCTACCACTCTGTCTTTCAGCATGGATTACGGAAAAACTACTGGCCTGATAACCCTGAAACTTGGTGAAAGGGTGTAACATGGGCAATGGAAGATACTATTCCATTTTTGAGCATATGCGTTGACAGGGTGGACACGCATAGTTTTTCATTCATAGAAACAGCTTAATCTGAGGTCTGTACTCTCGGAGTTCCCTTACAGTTGTCTTTTATCATCATTCATGAAAAAGGAGGTATAACTGTTGGTCATTTAATATAAAATAAGTGTGTGTGTGTGTGTTTCTTTCTGGTTTTGTCTCGACTGTTGTTATGTTATGATGATGGATCAGAGGGAGAGAGAGACAGCGAGCGAGGCAGACAGAGTTATATAGCAGTCCTTTGTCCTTGGGAGTGTAATGAATTGTAAAGTGAACCAGCTACAGGCCATAATGCTCTTTCAATGCAGCTCCCACGCTCATCACTCCACCCAGAAACTGTCGATAAGACACACACACACACACACACACACACACACACACACACACACACACACACACACACACACACACACACACACACACACACACACACACACACACACACACACACACACACACACACACACACACCGGCACATCATTTACACTGCATCCGTCTGCACCCAGCACTCTGAGCTGCACGGCTGCACACATCTGTCCTAACTGCACTCATTCACTGTTTTACTGCTCGTCTGTTCGTGCTGCATTCAATGTCGATGCACAGGACGTCACGTCATATTATCGCATCACATTGCTTTAAATTGTGTAAACACATATTGGGCTCATGCATGCAAAAGGCCCCACAACCTTCTTGTACAGTTGATTAAGCTCTATTTGTGTCTCTTTAGGGGCATTTTTTGTTGATTTTTTGTGACTTTTTTGGGTCATATTGCCTCCGTTCATGATTTCCTTCTGGTTATTTTGTCCCTTTTAATAACCATTGCATCTGTTTTGCATCGCTTTGTAGTTTTGATGGTCTTTTACAGTATTTGTACTGCATGTTTGTCATGTGAGCTGCCTCTCAAACCATTTTTACACAACTTATTTTAATAGACAAACCTTTCAAAGCTTATAAAAAACAGAAACGAGTTCCGAACATTTAAGACAGTTATTTAATAACTTAACAACCACTCACGAATATCTACTCGTTTCTCCTCCACAACGTATGGAAATAAGACAGAACAAACCAAGGTGAGTTCTGATCCAAGATCTCTTTAATTCCTTATCAATACATTCTCCATAAACTGCAACAATCCCATGATAAAAACCTTAATAAATCTCTTAAATCATTACTTTCACTCGTGCAGTATGGTATTTTCTAAATAAATGATGCTGTCATATCATCTTACATCATTTGTATCCTGTCATATCGTATTAAGGTACTTTGACTTTTTAAGCGTATATGCTGTGGAAAATATCAGAAAGGATTTATATAACAAGTGTTGCATGAATTAAAACTTAAAAAATGATGGAGAGATCTTAGTATTCTGTGATGTGGCTGCTTTGCGAGGAATAATAAAAGCAACGTTGTTTTGTTGTCTGTCACGTCCCCTTTATCTGAACAATCAGAGGCAGCAGGTGATGAGATGAGAGTTGAGATGAGATCACATTTTAATGACGCCTGTGGGCAAACGTCTTCTCTGAGGGAAAAACCCAGCATCCTTACTTTAATCCTTTCCACAATCAGAACAATATGAATATCTGCAAGATCATCCACTCTCCACAAAGACACGGTGCTGAATTCATTTAACAATCATTTCCCCTTAAGTAGGCAGGACTTTCGTTCAGCCTGAACATGACATTCAGTACTGGAGTAAGTACCATAAATGTCTGTATACACATTTTGAAGAGACAGAATAAAACAACCTCATGACACGGTGCATTTAGTGACCGTTCAGATGCTTTCTGTGAGATCTCGAGCTCTTCATCAGCAGACTCAGTTGACAGGGAGTTGTGGGTGTTAACATTGTCTTTTTCTGAGCACTTTGATCGTTTTAACTTAAGAAAAAACATGGCAAACTTGATCTTGTGATGAAGATAGGAGATAATATTGCTTACGATGTCCAGCAGCAGTATATAAAGTAATTGAAATTAGCTCCACATTTACCGGCTGTGATGAACACATTAATCACAATCCAGTAATGTATTATATGTGATTCTAAAATGTGCCATTATACATAATGAGTACTTTCACTTTTGCTATTTTAAATATATTGTCATACTTTTTAACTTTTCAATGAGTAAGATTTTGAATGCATCTGTTTTACTTTCAAGTACTTTTAAAATGTAGTATTGCTACTTTTGCGTAAGAACAAAATCAGAGTTCTTCTTCCATACTGCTTAAAGCATCCTTTAAATGCAAAAATGATTTGGTGTTCAAACCCCCCAGAGCAGCTCCACGCTCCACACCGGTCCATCTGATTGGTCGGCTGATCTGTCAGTCAGGCAGGTAACGCCCCTCCCACTGACCCCGCCCCCCCTCTCCCCCTCCCGCAGCAGGTTGGGTTGCGCGGTGTGCAAGGGGACCGTGGACAGCTCCCGTCTGAGCACCAGAGTAACGCAGGAGGAGGAGAGGCTGGATATGGGGGAACCAACGCACAGGCCCGTACGATCGAGATAATAACATTTTTTTTTTTTTTAAACAAATGTTCACCAACTGGGGGAAATACACACACACACCGAGCTGGAGAGGCCTTAGGAGGACGGGGAAACAACCGAGGAAGTGAAGATAAAGGGGGAATACGGCTACTGACCCATCCCGGAGCATCAGGGGAGAAGCAGCGAGAGAAAGGGGGAGAAGCAGGGAGAGAAAGGAGGGGAAGAAGGAGACTAATTCCGCTCGACCCGATGGACTGAGAGGACAGATGAATGAAGACTGCCTATACTAACGCCTATAGATGTCTGGCCAAGGACCTAGACGCCTATGCCATGAACACGGACATGACGATGGACGGCATCGGCAGCCTGCATGGCGGGGTGTCCGTGAGCTCCGTCCTCCCTGATGTGGAGCTGATGAGCGGCCACAGCCCGCACCACGGCCGCTCATCAGGGGGCCACGGGGCGGCGGCGGCAGCCCTGCGGATCCACCAGGACCTGGCCTCTCGCTCCGCCATGGTGTCCGGCATGGCCAGCATGCTGGACGGTAACGGGGACTACCGTCCGGAGCTGTCGCTGCCGCTGCACCACGCCATGAGCGTGCCCTGCGACACGTCCTCTCCCGGGATGGGGATGAGCGGGACATACACCACCTTAACCCCGCTGCAGCCGCTGCCCCCCATCTCCACCGTGTCCGACAAGTTCCATCATCACCACCATCAACACCACCAGCGGCTCTCCGGGAACGTGAGCGGGAGCTTCACCCTGATGCGGGACGACCGGGGGCTGCCGGGGATGAACAACCTGTACAGCCCCTACCACAAGGACCACATGTCCGGGATGGGTCAGAGCCTCTCCCCGGTGCTCGGTAACGGCCTGGGCTCCATACACAACACCCAGCAGGGGCTTCACAACTACGGCATCACGACGCACGGAGGCCACGATAAGATGCTGAACTTCGAGGCGCACCACACCGCCTCCATGCTCAGAGGGGACCCCCACCAGCACCGAGGCCTCGGCGGCCCGACGGCCGGGATGATGCCGCACCTGAACGGGATGCACCACCCGGGGCACCCGGTCGTTTCCTCGGCGGGCCACCACCCCCACCCCCACCCCCACCTCCAGTCTCCATCCCATGGGCCCGTGTTGGTGTCCAGGGAAAGACCTCCCTCCTCCTCAGGGGTGCAGGGGGTGAACAGCTCGGGGCAGCTGGAGGAAATCAACACCAAGGAGGTGGCGCAGAGGATCACGGCGGAGCTGAAACGGTACAGCATCCCCCAGGCCATCTTCGCCCAGAGGGTGCTGTGCCGCTCCCAGGGGACCCTATCGGACCTCCTGAGGAACCCCAAACCCTGGAGTAAACTAAAGTCAGGCCGGGAGACCTTCCGGAGGATGTGGAAGTGGCTGCAGGAGCCCGAGTTCCAGAGGATGTCGGCGCTCAGACTGGCAGGTAAGAGGACAACAAACCGGGGCCATGCTGCTGGGTTGGTTTGCTTTGTGCGTCCGGACAACAGGAGGAATTCTAAATTAAATTCAAAATTATTTTATATTTTGCTGGCTTTGTTTTGGTGTTTCCTCGTGGCTCTTTTTTCCCTGTGCGCCCATATAGATGAATGGAATTTATTTAGAATCACTCGTGTTATGATTACCATTATTGATCAATAACAAAAAGGGATCGATAGGAAATGACAAGGTCACGGGATTTCCCTCCAACAGTCTCTGCGATGTGCAGCAACCCAGATTTATCTTTCTCCTGGCCCTGCATGTTGGAGGGAAAACACACTTTCAGCAGACTATGCATCAGCTTTAAATTGTATCCAAATAAATGCTTCACATAAAAAGGCCCATTAATACCGATAAAAGTGAAGGGAAAAAGGCAGTGCTTATATTTATATTTAAAAAGTGTGCATACTATTTGGAAATCATTCAACCTTTACAGACAAAAATCTCAGACATTTTAAAACAAGGAGTGAAAATATTTATTCTGAGTTATAATTAATGCCTTTTATTTTAGTTACTTGTTTCCTATAATCAGCTGCTGTTGTTCCTTTCATCATCTTGTTAAAGGCTTATTTAATCAGCAGGGAGAGGTCTGATAAAGCACGGCAGTCAGTGTTTTGTGTGACTGTGAGGGGTTTGAAGTGATGGTCAAAATGAGGGTTTGAACATCAGTGGGTCTGGGGCCCCCTCTAGTGAGGGACCTGCTTTCTGTCCCAACATCAGCCTCTATTGTCTGCAGGGTCAGCAGCAGCAGGCTGGATTAAATTGAGTTGTTCAGGAATATATTGAAACATGACTAGAGTTTAATGCTTCTGTCGGGGTTAGTATATACCTGTGGTGAATTTATAGTAAGATTAGATCACATTAAATGCATTTAACAGAGGTGTCTTTAATGGTGAATTTACATGATGTAATCCAGAAATCACTAGGAACTATTGCATGTTGGAATTTCACTTTTGCAAAAAAAAGTGTATTAATTTATTGATAAATAAGACATATTGGGTTTTCAACTAAGCATGTAAAACTAAATTGAGTCATATTGGCTATTTCAAAAACCAACCAAAACGTATATGCTACACTACAGTAAATGCTCTTTGTTGGTTTTAAGCTAAAACATTTGTAATAATTATAATAAATTAAGAGTCCTATTTAACATATAACGTATGTTTTTTTAAACAACATCAACTAAATATAAAAGTGAAAAATAACTGAAGGGTTCACATTTTCCTTATAATTGTAAAATGTGTTTCTAAAGCAGCTTTTTAGTGTAAAATCAGTCAAATACAAAACATGAATTCAGTTCAATTTGTTTAGTTTTTTGCTGTCTTCATTTGCGTTTTACAGGTACAAATAAACACATAGGTTCAAATACATTTAGTATCACCTATCATAATGACAAACACAATACTACAATAAAACAGGAGGGTATACTGTATGCAGTCACAAAACCACTGTGAAAAGATTTAAAATAAATAGTGTTATGAATTACACAGAATATGTAAAAACGTTTGTTTTAGACATTTTGGAACCTGACTGAATGTTTCCTGTTCAAAATAATCCAAATGACAATTTCTCATTCGCCTAACCCTTAAAATAATCCATAACTAACACATGGAGATGTATTGTGTTCACCATAAAGCGACACATTTTATAAAACATGTCATATTATGTCATAAAATTCAAATACTTCTATATTTTGTTTGATGCCACCTTAACAAACACATATCATTCAATGAAATAATTCCAACAGTAGGATTTCTAACTCATGCATTTCAGTCTGAAGAACTACTTTAAAGAGCTGCCAGGGGATATTTTAAAAATATCATAGACTTTAAAATGATTTTGTATCAGTGTGTCATTATCATCTGTTTAACTTTTTTAGCTCCATTTGACTAGTTCATGCATTCAGAAAAACGTCAGTATTTAACCGCTGCATTCGCTATATAGTATTCACAAGAGTTTTGGGTCAAACATCTGTTTTAAAAACGATCATGTGTTCTTTACCAGATCATCACAGATTTGCACATTTATTTCAGATTTACATTTATTGGACTACAGTTTTCAGGAGCTCTAAAGATACAAATACATAATGAATGTCAACATTATAGCTACAGACAAAGGGTTAATAATGTACAAATGATATGTATATATTTAATATATCTAGACTCAAATCTTACAGGTTTCACATTTGATTATTGCTGTGTGAAATGCTGGAATTTGAAAAGATGTAACATAAGAACATTTTAATATTGAAAAACAATGCATTTTATACATTAGTGGCTAAACAGAAGGGTTTTAACTCTCTTAAACCCAATTATCTATAATTAGATTACATTTAATTATCCTTATCATGAAGCTTAAAACAAAGCTGTTTTCTAATTTCATGGTTTTCATTTTCTGTTATTTTAGGAAAGGTAGTGTTGCGTTTACTTAACCCTTAGATGCACGAGTGACTGGACCCTACACTCTTCCATAAGTGGGTCAAAAAGGACCCGTATTAGAATAATATGTGTTTTTATGCCATTTCTGTCAATTTGGTTGAGAAAAATCACGTGTATAATATTTAGTATTATATTTAGGTTCACACTAGAAATATTTTATATTGAACTTTTCACTATTTATAATTTTAGACATTTTTTTTACATTTTGAAAAAAAACGTTTTCCCATACAGTAGGTTTCCATAGAAAATACATGCGGGTCATTTTTGACCCACTTATGGAAGCTTGGGGTAGTAATACAAAAACTACAATTTCTTAAAATGTAAATTAAAATTTTGAATGGCATGATATCCAAAACATGTTTTTTAAGGAATAGCTGGAATATGAAATGATAAAAAAATGTAATTACAAAGATACTTCAAGAAAACCACCTCACCGGGTCAAAAAAGAGCCACTTATGCATCTAAGGGTTAAGGGTCGATCTTTGGAATAAAACATATGTTAAAATGAAAATATGTAGAAATATAAAATCTTAAATGCTGTACAAATGTAATAATAACAATGTACATTTAGGTTATTTACTTATAAGACATTCAATAATGTATTATACTAAGCTTTGAGTACCCAAATTATATATATTTACACTTTATGAACTCTTTATTTCTACTCAGAATAACTATTACTAATAATGATAACACTTACATTATCTTCCTTACACTGAACGACACAAACAGCAATTTCTCTTGTGCAAATATAATATTCTTTACATTATTGTAAAATATTTAAACAATATTTCTATTATTCATTTTTATAAACCGATATGATATGATAATATGACAGATGATCAAAGTGTTTGCAGTGTATTTATAGTGAGTTTTCGGAGAAGTTATTTTATTATGAAGTGAACTTCCTGGTGTATTTTTTTACATTTGTTAGCTGCATCAGATTCCAATATTTTCTCTCAATATCTGCTCAGCATTCTCATATTTACTGTGGTTTTATGTGATGTAAATGTACCATAAAGTGTCCGAACAGGCCTTGAATAATCACTGCAAATCAGTGATGTATTCTTTTCATTTGATCCAATTAATGGAGATCCAAACTCAGCAACGACACCTGATTCCCAAAGCATTGATTGGTCTTTTGCATTTAATTAGCCCAGATTCTGCCAGTGGATTTGGTCCGGAGCAGACTCATATTTTTAAATGTGTGCTCATGCTAATGTGGAGGAGATTATCTCTGCAGGATGTGACTGTTATTTCATTAGGGGGTCCTCTGAGATCCAGGGCTATTTGCCGTTATATGGTAATAGAAAAGGACAGGAGGGACGGTGGATAGAGAGCAGGGGAGCGCTCAGATCACACGGGGTGTTGTGAAATGTCAGCGTGCAGAAACACTGAAACTCTGCTGTCTGATGGAGCTGTCTGTCGCTGGCTGCTGTACGCATGACACTGTTTACTCTTTTACAAAAGGCCCACTATCTACAAATCAAATCTGAAATTATTAGGATTGGGTACTCGTATTTATTTGTATATGTTGTACTCTATAGACACTGTAACATATATATTTATACAATATTTTTAACTAATGTGCAATGCTATGTAAACATGCCGCTATAACAAAACGCCTTCTCAATTTCGGACCAATAAAGTAGTCTAATCTAATTTAAAATAATCGAGTTTTGGTTACCGATAACCAACATCATTTTGTTAATTTCTTGCATTAAGGGATACACAACAACTCTCTTTTCGCTTTTATTTATTTAATACTCAAATGTATTTGTATATATTGTATTCTATAGACACTGTAACATATATGTTATATGTTTTTTTACATGTTTTACTTATGTGCAATGCTATGTAAACATGCTGCTAACACAAAACGCCTTCTCAATTTCGGACCAATATAGTATCTATAGTCTAATCTAATTTAATACAATCTAGTCCCAATAGTTACATAGGCGAGCTGAGTTTTGGTTACGGATAACAAAATAATTGTGTTTATTTCTTGCATTAAGGAATACACAACAATTTTACTTTCGCTTGTATTTAATAATTAAAAGAATTAGAAAGTGATGAACTTGCTGTATCTTCTTAAGCCACGAGTATGAGAGACATTTTACTGATCAAAGCCCAGTTTCACATCGTAGAAGCTTACTGTGTGTTGAGCCTAGTTTAGCTTACAACATTGAACTATTTGGAAACTAGTCTGCACACTGAGGTTCAGCTTTAGTTCACTCTGTCTGATAGATTACATGTGAACAAAAGGGAACACAAGAAGCAAAGAAAAAGATAACTCTTAGTTGAAAAAGATCGACATAAAAAGTCCGTCTGTTGTTGTTTTCATTTTCTTTGTTTTATAGATTGTTGAATTGAACTACTGTTTTGTTTTAACTCAATTTGAAAGGCAATAAAGCATGGTTACCTACCTGCAATTTATGGATATTCGCCATTATAATTGCTTGCTTAGCCTAACTGAACACAAAAAGACAGGAAGTACTACCTGCAGTAA